TTGCTTATCAGCTCGACTCAATGATCTCGATGTTAACAAACCACAAGATAGACAGTCTCACTTCATTTTCCATAGGTTTTGGATATGCCCTGTTGAATTGGTATATAATAAATTGTGTGTCTAAGCTCAAAACTATTGATAATGCTATCGTGATAGTTGGTGATATTTTAGCGAAATTCATCGCGTGTGACCTCAATTCTGTTCAGATGCCTCTGTGGGAGTTGTACTATTTCGCTCATAACGTATGATTGAGTCTGTCTAAGCAATTATCGCTATAAATTAGAGGCAACTAACTATGCTTGAAGCTCATGCTGGACGTTCTTTATTGTCGGTAGGTTGATTCTGTTATCACTGGGACAGGATGTCCTTCTTAGTACAACTTGGGCCCCAGCAAATACGTCGCTGCTCTGGCAAATAGATAAGCACGGCAAGTATGTTCTCTTTTAGCTCTTTAACAACTTCCTTCCTTGTCTCGCATACATCGCTTTAGATGTCAAGTCATTCATTCTTGCTCTTCCTTCCTTCTTCATCTTCAGCTTATAGAATCACCTTTGCACAAGGCTAAAAGCAGAGCAAACTTGAAATTTTCGACAGCCTTATTTACAATATTTTCAATACATCCGGCTTCATTGTACTGGTACTTTATTTTGTTGGGTTCAACTTTTCTCATATCATTGAACTTTCTGCTAACTATTTGCTATAAATGCCTTTATTTTCCCTTTACTGGATCGCCGAAACTTCATTCATCAATTAGTAATCTCGATCGACTCAATCGCTCCTGGTACCGAAACGATCGGCCGGAGGAGGAGAACATTAACGCTCGAATGGCGTATCGTGCTCTCATGTTGCTCACAATCCGGCGTCCACCGGATTCTGAGTTCACGGAGTTTGAGCGAGAGATCAGGAAGCGGGCCTTTGAAGATTATGGCGTTCTGCATGATACCCTCGAGGTAGGTCGTGGCTTGAAATTTGTGTGTTTTATTTATTATGCCTTTTATCTCCGTCCGACAAGATAACCTTATATGAGATGTATTCACTCTACTTATATACGAAAGATAACTTTATTACTGAATATAGTTTCATTAAATGGCTAATTGGCTTGCTACTCTCATCTGGTAAGATGTAGTGGCTAAACCGTTTTCTTTTATTTTATTCGATTATTTTACTTTTTCCGAGCAGTTGAGTTTTGTCATTTATTCATTTTTCTTTCATTTTTGCTTGGGCATTGAATATTTATATTCGTATTAGAGTAGGGTTTCGAGACTACCAGTAAATCAGTGTAATGAGATGTATTCACCCT